TTTGTTTTGACAAAAGTTGCATGTTACGACTTTTTTCACTTTACAAAGCGCAGGCTGTCGGCGAAATGAGATGCAGCTTGCGTTTGCGGTATCGGTCATTAGAACAGTTGACGTTACTGCCTTTTGAAAACAGCCTTTGCTCACCTGCGGTGCTGGCTCGCTCTGCCGTATTTTTTTTTTTTCTTCCCCTGTTTCAATCAAGTGGCAGTGATGACGGCGGCGGAGGACGCATTAATCGCGCGACACAACTAATCGATGATGAAATGCGTTGCCAACGCTTTTAAAAGTCGATTTTTATCGATTTTATCGGTTCGTTGTTGCAGCCCTAGATTAAACCCAGTTTAGGTTCTAAGCTGGTGATTTTTATAATTGAAAACCCTGCAGAGTGTTTGAATGAAAAGCTCTGCATAAGAGAGTCGTCAACCAGCTATGGCTGTACTATAGGATTATCTATGAAAATAAATGTAAAATAATTTAAGTGTTTAGCTTAATCAAGGCAGAAGAAATCTTTCAGGGGTCAACACATTTTTCCCAGCTCAATTGATATTTCCTTTAGTTGTTTGATAATTTTTCTCCTGCTTCTGTTTCTGAGGTCCAGGTAGAGGGCGGTGCAGCGATGGGGAAAGGTTTGGAGGAGGAGTGGATCGAGGAGCCATGCCCAGTAATGGCTCGGTGTGGTCACAGGAGGCGATACAGGCCTCAAAGGATGCTCCGGCTCGTCCTTTCATAGACTGGAACGACATCCGAGAAAACAGAGCAAAGTACGAGGAGCTGAAATGGAAAGGTGGGGGATCTGATCCACATTAGTTTGGGCAGCAATGTCATTTATTTTCTGTTTTTGTGAATGCAGTGTGAACAGAAATTTAAATAGTGGTTCAAAAGGAAAATAATTCCTGATGTATTTGACAGATTTTAGTTTCCTCTGTTTCTCAACTTTGATGGGAGCCTTTTCTCATACTCCCTAAAACTTCTCAGACCTCCCTCCACTGAAGAAGAAATTTTACATCGAAGCAGCGAGTGTGTCTGTCCTCACTCCTGAGGAAGTCTGTGAATGGAGGTAATGATGTCCCTGCTTTTCATTTTCTGTTAATACACTTCCCATCCTACCCATAGATACTGAATTAGAAAAGCATCAACTATTCTATTTTTATTTATTTACAGGCTATAACTGTTGGTGTAAAAGGTGCAAAAATGATTGTATCACACATGCAATGAAAGGGAAAAAAAAACTGAAAAGGAGAATAGTTCAAGTTCCAGAGGTTTTGCAGATTTTTGCCCCTTCTAGCAACAAGTTAAGTGGCATGGGAGAAGAAATAGAATGTCCTGCCACAAAGACTGCACAGGTTTTTTAGAGGCGCAGTCATCTGAAGAAAGAAAGTTTGAAATATTGAAGTTATTCTGAATGGAGCGTCTCACAGTTTAGCAGAAAGGCCTCATTCCCAGAGTGGAGCTGATCTTACCTGACTTATCTGGTCTTATTCAGTCACCGATCAGACTCCAGTTAGGTTCTTTTCGCCGCATTAGGTTAATGTTTTATTGCTCAGTTTTGGTTGGAGTCCGTGCTGGGGTTTGAGGTGCACATGTTGCCGTTTTTTGTGATGGATCCTCACAAACTGGTGCCTGGTTTTTATCCCACACTGTTTACATTTGGTCACCGCTGCACTTCAAGAAATGGAAAATGTCATGAAAGCTGTACAAAATGAAATTTAATTTTGTTTACACTCCATGTAAACAAAATAACAATAAAAGTTGTCTAAGTTTTATCACAGCAGCAGGGTGGAGTAGAGTGCGTGCCGAGACATTTTGGGCTGAATCTTTCTCTCATCAACTGGCTAATGGAGTCTGCTGTGATGAGTGGAGAAAAGCTTTATTACAAGCGCATATATGGGGGGAAAAAAAATTGAAATTCATCTTTTTAAATTTGGACAGTTAGCATTTTAAGATAATTTACAAACAGGCGGCCAGGCATCTTTTGTTTCTGCTGTTAGAGCCAGAACCACACAGCAGTAAAATGACTGTAGCAGATGGTGCTCATTCATTAATGTGGTTAAATCTCAAAGTTGGAATGTAGACTGGTATGTGGGGCTGCAGATGTTTACCAGCCTGTGTGTCTTGGTGTTTGTTGGTCGTGTTTCACTGCAGCAAAACATGAGTGTTGGAATTTGCAGTTTCTAAAAATTTACTGTTAAAGATCCTAACAATATGGACAAAAGGGGTTTATATGATCAGTTCTTGCTTTGCTGGATCTCCCAGTTTTCAAATTAAATCCCATTCATTTTGGTCTTTTTTTATTGCAGGAAGGAAAATAATAATATATTTGTGGATGACATAAAGGAGGAGGGAGAGAAGCGACCCATACCCAATCCCTGCCGTACTTTTCTGGAGGCATTCGAACCTTATCCCGAGATTATGGAAAATATTGAGCGTGTTGGTTTTGTCAAACCAACCCCTATACAGGTATTATTCAAACAATGAATCCTCATAAGAACCCAATACATCTGTCCAACACCATCTGATTAGGGACTCTGTGTATATTGGAGATAATTCACTGTTTAGAAATATATTTGAAGCTTTTTTACCTTTATTGGATGCTTTACTGTGTTTTTTGTGCAGCTGATGCGAAAAACTAAAGTTTAGATGCTTATTTTTTGTCAATTTAAATTAAGAATAACACATTTTTTAAGGAAAATCTGCACATATCAGACCAATAACACCACAGTGGGTTTTTTCTTTCCACCACAGCACACATTTATTTCCTACAAAACCCACAGAAATCTTAATGGAGCTGACTATTATGCGATGAGTTCCCATGAGCCTTTCCTGCCCTAACAGCTCAATATTGTCAACATTGGAGAGTTTTCCAGAAGTAAACAAGAAAATTAGAGAAACAATGAATCTATTCAAGTCTCTGACCATCAGTCTAACCTAGACACCATGTTATTTATGAATTAACTGTCACTATGTTGTGGCCGTGGTGCAGCAGGTAAATCCCATAAAGCAATATGAAAATGGAAATACCCACAGCTGCTTCACTGATCTGAATCCTTATCCATTTTAGTGCCATTCATAAAATCCAGATCCAGTCTAAAGAAAAACAGAAAGTGCTTGAAATGCATCTTGATTGCAAGAAAAACTAAAGTTATTTTGAAAGTTATCATATAATTGAAGGTGGTTATTCATGAGCTCTTGGAAATCATTAATCCCAATAAGACTTTATTTCCTCTCTGTGAAGCAAGGCTACTTCTAACTTCCAAATTTTACTTCCTCTTTTCTGACTTGCTGAAGTTGCTCTTTTTTCACACGCTCTGAACATTCAGCATGGATGGGTTTTTTTTCCATTCTCTCTTAAATGACAGTTTATTAGTTGTTGTGAATTTAAAATGAGCTCTGATTTAAACTTCTGGACCTATTTTAAAAATGTTAGGTATTTTTTATAACCCTGCTGTTCAGTAAGCTCATGTCTTGGCCAGATTTGTAGCTGTTATGCTGCAGGGAAAAATGAAACTGCAACATCAACTCTTCATGTTTAGCTTTCATTTCACTATAAGAGGATTAAGCTAATGGAATATTATGATAAATTTAACATCGATTTTCAAGCAGCTGCACAGCCGCCTGTGTAGTTTATAAACCCGAAGCTGCTCTGCTTCCACATCCTTTCATTCTGTCCCTGTGCATTTTAAAGTTATTTATTTATTTTTTTAACTTTTATTAAAAAGGCTGGTTTAAATGTGTTTTTCCCAATCAAGAGTGCAGCATCTATAAGTGCTATATGGTCTATCTCTATAATTGCTTAATGGTCTCCCTCCAGTCTCAGGCATGGCCTGTGTTACTCAGTGGGGAGGACCTGATAGCGATTGCTCAGACAGGCACTGGGAAAACTCTGGCCTACCTGCTGCCAGGGTTCATCCACATGGATGGACAGCTTGTGTGAGTCCAACACTTTGTTTTTATATTTAAATAAAATTCTGAGTTATGAACCTGGATGGTTTGTTTTCTAATGACAGGCCCAGAGCTGAGAGGGACGGTCCAGGCATGTTGGTGCTGACCCCCACCAGAGAGCTTGCTCTGCAGATTGAAGCAGAGTGCAACAAGTACAGTTATAAAGGATACAAAAGGTAATCGGTGATGGAGGAGGAGGTCTTGCATGTTAATTGAGGTAATTGTGATGTCAGCCCCTTCCTTGTCTCTTAGCGTCTGCATCTATGGAGGGGCTGACAGGAAAGGCCAGATCAACCTGGTGAAAGGCGGGGTGGACATCGTGATCGCCACGCCTGGACGCCTCAACGACTTGCAGATGAACGAGCTCATCAATCTGCGCTCCATCACCTACTTGGTCAAATTTTGGTTTATTTGAAAATTTGAATTCAGTGCTGAATACTGTAGCTTCTCTTTAATTTAACTGTTTGCTCTTTGGGGAAGTTTTGATACTAACCGGGTCTGAATGTCGGGGAAAGGTGCTGGACGAGGCGGATCGGATGCTTGATATGGGCTTTGAACCCCAGATTCTGAAGATTTTGCTGGACATCCGTCCAGACCGACAGACTGTCATGACCAGGTAGAGCTGAGCTTTGGTCTTCACTGGGACATTAGTGCATTTCCAAACATCCACAAAAAAAAAAGTTAGCTCTTCATTTGGAGCTAAAAAGCTTTCCAGGAGTGAACAAATTTAAAAATGAATGCAGCAGACATCACTGACCATGGTAAATGAATCATGGCAAACCAGTAATGTTGCTATATAGTTGTGCATACACACAAGTCAAATAAACATGTCACCCTCAGAAAAAGAAAAAAAACTCCACAAACAAGATGTTTCACTCCAGGGTTTGAGTGTGAAGGCTTTGCTTGTCCACAGTCCATTGCTGTGGGACTTGTTACTTCTAATTTTATACTTGGATCTGCATTCTTGCTGCTGCTCTCTTCTCAGCGTGAGAAATTTAGTGTCTTCCTCTTATTAAATGTAAGGTGACCTGATTTTACCGTCTCTGATTTGAAAGATTTTATTGCAGAAGCATACCGGTATTTTTTTATTCTCCTAGAAATGATGAAACATGAATTTAAAGACAATATTAGAAAAGTATAAGTAAAATACAAGGCTAAGACTCCTTTAAGGATGTTTCTACATTTTTAGGACTTTTAAACTTTGCATCCATTGATTTAGTGACTCATCAATGAGGTAAACTCCCCTGTTCATGTATGAAGATTTAACGGTATTGTGGAGGATTTTCGTGATTTTTTTTAAAGACTCTCCCTCTCCACTTTAAAAAAGAAATGCACAACCGTATACCCGCTCCGGAGAGGGAATGCCTATTAAACGCGTGCAAGAGCGCACATGAGCCTATTTCTGCTTGTGCATGCTATGTTTAAAAGTTGCTGTTCTTATAGCTCATACAAGCTTACAATGCCCGAACGTCCGACCTAACCTAAATCCCTCAATCACTATATAGGGCGGGGACTATATGGATTTTATAGAAAACTCTGTTAAATTACTGTTCAAACAGATGATCGCTACTTTTCGCTCCCAGTTGGTCATGTAACTCCTCCTCAACTGCATGGTGCCTGCGTCATCTTTGTTACTAGTCGCCGCTGTCGGGTAGCAGGCCGCTGTAACAGCAAATCCCATAATGCTTAGCGAGGTGAGCTCTCTGTGTGAAGCTTTCCGGGATATTTCTGCCTCTTCTGAGGCCTTTTCTTCTCATACACTTTGTAGACACTCTCTCTCTTTCGACCCTCTGCCATTTTCAAAGAACTGCGGTGAGAAAGATGAGCTTCAATGACTGTCTGAAACTGCTGCTCACCACAGATATACGCCTGAAAGTTTGCATGCTCAGAAAAAGATAACTATCAGGGGAGGAGCATGTAGGACGGCCCTACATAAACGAATCACCAGAATGATTGATAATTAGGAGGACCCCTTATTTAGATGATCCACCCGGAAATAAAAGATCATCCTCTATACCTTTAATTAAGCAGAGTAGATCATTTTGAAGGTGATGGCATCTGACTGATCTTCATTTCTATGTAGTTTTTTTTTTAAATTATTAATCTTAGATATTAATGTAATATAAAGAATCTGAACCGAAGCTAAATATTTTTCAGATATTTTCCAAGATTTGCTGAATTATGCTGTAGAAATGAATAAACTGCACTTTTATTGTTGGTTTATGTTCCAGTGCCACCTGGCCCACAGGTGTAAGAAGATTGGCTAAATCCTACCTAAAGAATCCCATGATGGTTTACGTGGGCACCCTGGACTTGGCTGTAAGAGGAAGTGAAATTTAATCTGTTGTACTTCTTTTTTTTTTTTCCATCATTAGTTTTTTCACGCTCAGTTTTTCTCCATCTGTGCACCAGTCAGTCAACACGGTGAAGCAGACACTGCTGATTGTTCAGGAGGAGGAGAAAAAGTCGTATGTTTTCGACTTTATCAGGAATATGCAACCCCTGGATAAAGTCTTAATCTTTGTGGGCAGGAAGATTGTGTGAGTTGGGAGTTAAGCGCTTCTTTTAGAAAATTCCCCTGCAGCTGCTGTTTGATATCTTTGGGAAACTACCCACTGCACTCACAGCATGCCACGTGTCTTTGTTTCTGCCAAATCAGAGCCGATGACCTATCGAGTGACATGTCCCTGCAAGGCATCGCTGTGCAGTGTCTCCATGGAGACCGAGAACAGAGCGTCCGGGAGGAGGCTCTCAGGGACTTTAAGGAGAGTATGTTACTAAAAAATCATAATTTCCAACAGGTTTTCACATCTGAATGAAAATGTCTGGGAAGTTTTTTTTTCTTTCAGATTTCTAGAAATTTTCAATACAATACAAAAATGTGCTTATTAATATTTGGTTTTACCCTTAATCAAAATAAACCTCTACAACTTTCTACAGCCATTTTGTACCATAGTTAAAACATATAAAGTTGAGGGAAAAGGGGCTGCTGCCCACCCCCTCCTCGCTTATACCTGCAAAAGCACACAGCAGTGAGGTTTTTAACGTCTTCCCTTTGCTTTAGTTGCCCACATCCAAAAATACAACCGTTTTAGTGCGTTTACTCTTCCAGGTCATGTTCGCATCCTGGTCGCCACAGATCTGGCTTCCAGGGGGCTGGATGTCCACGATATAACCCACGTGTTTAACTACGACTTCCCACGAAACATAGAGGAGTACGTCCATCGCGTGGGCCGCACAGGCAGAGCGGGGTAACAGATCTACGTTTGGGTCCGTCCACCTGTAGCTATAGGCTTAGGCTGGGTCAGTTTGTGATGCAACGCATTTTTTTTCCCTAGGCGAACGGGTGCTGCCATTACCCTGTTGACGAGAGATAACTGGAGGATGGCCTCAGAGCTGATCTCAATCCTGGAGAGAGCAGGACAGGTAACCATGTGGAAATCATCAGAGGGTTTAAATCAGGGGTCTGCAAACTTTCATATCCAAAGAGCCATTTTGCTGTGAGTCCAGCTAAGAAAAACTTGAGAGCCAAAAAATATTACATGGTTTTTTTTTTGTTTTTTTTTTTAAATAAACAACCTATTACTTTGGTTAAATATATGCCATACTTGATATGTTGCCATCTTAAAAAACAAGAGCTTCTTTGTATTTTATGCTTTTAAAATAAGGTAAAACATAAAAATACCCTTGAAACTGAAGCATGGATTTTTTTCATGTAGGGTATTATTTGATGTAGGCAAAAACGATAATAAAAAAGTAAGTTTCCAAGCTAATTGAATTAAAAATATGTAAAAACACATTTCTGGTGCTTTCCAATGTTTTTTATAAAAACCACATAAGCGTCTAAAAGCTGATTTTATACTTCGAAACCAGGTCATCTGCATGTGTGTTGTGGCGTATGCAGATCCCTGCCCCCTCCGCACCTTTCCCATATTGTAGGTCACCTCAAACAGGAGGCCTCTGATTGGTCAAATCTACATCCGCTCTACATGCTGCATATTTTCTATTTGGTACCTTATCGGCTTGTTTTGTTTGTCTGACCGCCATTGCGGAGAACGACTCGTGAAGATGGACCACCTAGAAGAGCTAGGTGCAGAGAACGCTGGGACCCTTTTTCCACCTGGATCCCCACTCTTTGTCGCCCTCATATCCCTCTGATGTCGGACAAACTTGCCCCCACTTCTCTCACCGCCTCGGCTGTATCTAGACCCACAGCTAGTTTGTGATTGTCCCTTTTGCGTTGTGGCGTGGAATAAACATAGCGCAGACCATGCTTTAATATTGAGCATAAATCAAAAATATCTGCTTCCTACCTGCGACAAGCTCACTGTAACACACTACTGCGGGAGGATAACCAGCCCTTTAGACTAATTCTTGTTCTACAATATTTAATTCTTAATATTATATTTAGCCACTATTAAGTGGCCATGGTAGAGGGTCCAAAGAGCCTCATGCGGACCCCTGGTTTATCCATCCATATAACCGTTTTCTATCATGCTTATTCCAATTGGGGTCACGAGGGGTGCCTATCTCCAGCTGTCAATGGGCGAGAGTCTATCGCAGGGCAACACAGAGACAACCATTCACACCTAAGGAGAATATAGAGAAGCCAATTAAGCAGACTGTGGGAGGAAGCTGGAGAGAACCCACACATGTAGAACATGTAAACTCCATGCAGAAAGACCCTGGGCCAGGATTCGAACCCAGAACACTCCTGCTGCAAGGCAGCACTGCTACCCACTGTGCTTCTGTGAAGCCCAACCCTGGTTTAACGTATAGATGATTGATTGTTGCCCATTTATGTAAACTGTCTGAATATGTAAATGTTATATATTACAAGGGAATGCATTTTCAGGACGTCCCAGAAGAGTTGGTGCTCATGGCGGAGAGATACGAGAAGCACAGGAGGGAGAAAGAGCTGCTTTCTCCAAGAGAACATGGAAGGGGTGGAAGAGGAGGTGGAGGGAGAGGCGGCAGAGACCGAGGCCAGAAATACCGATTCTGATGTCTGTAAGTCTGCACCAGCTGTAGCGATAGCACAGCTCAATGTGGAAATGTTCGGGGCAACGTTCAGTTTAAAGATAAGCTTCATATGTAGAAACATATTTTTAGCTTTTTTTCCTTTCAGAAACATTCCTGCAACCTTTAAAGGGAAAGAAAACTAACATCTACACTCTTTCATGAAGTTCTAAACTATTCGGCTTTACAAACCACAAAAATATAGAATATGAGCAAAAGGTGAAAATAACATGTATAGGAGAATAATTTACATGGTTTGTCCTTTTTTTTTTTTTTTTTCTTCAGCACGTTGGAATAGGATCCAAAGCTGGCTGTGATTTCTTCACAATGTACATAAGTTTATTTTTTTTACTTTGTTTACATTTTATGTAGTTTTATCTGTATTGCCATTTGTATGCCAGGTAGACACTTTTGGTGTTAAAGAAGTTTTATGTTGAAAAATGCCTTGTTCCAAGTCGAGTGTTTGCTTTCTGTGTCTCACCAACCTTGTTTATACAGATTGATTATTTTTGATTATTTTGCTGTGTGTTTTTGGGAGAATTGTTAAATAAACTCTCTTTCTGAAGAAACTTCCTGTCTATCTGCCCTCTATTTCAGACATTTAGCTGCTGTAGCCCCATTGGAAAATCAGCATCTCTGTCTTTACTTCAATAAGTAGATATTTGCAAAAGTAAATGTTTTTTTATTTTATTTTTAGAAAAAAAAAAAAAGTGTTCATCAATTCCTGGCACCCAAGATCCTACTGATTATATAATTAAAAACTCTAAAGGTGCAAAGTAAATCAAGTTTATAACCATTATAAACACCCTGCTGAGTACTAAATAGCAGGAAAGCTGCTTTTCAATAAAAAAGGGGACAAATTGTATTTTCTTCAAACACTGCTGTTCAGGATACGTCATGCGAGTAAATTGTCTTTTTTTTATTTGATATATATTTTTTATATTCAAATGGTGACTATTTCTAGAAAATCATGAGTAGTGGAGATGTACTGTGCCACATTCTAGCATGGCTATTTTCTATCTGCTGTCCCTGTGGCAGGTAGGGAGAAAAACAGATGTCAGAATAGTTGCCAAACTCCAATATTAAAATGTTTAATGATGTTATTAAGGGAGATTTAGAATTCATCCAGATAGAAAGGACATCTTTGGATGGGTAAAGGACACATACAGTGGGGCCAAAAAGTATTTAGTCAAGCACTGTGCATGTTCTCCTACTTAGAATAATGAGAGAGATCTGTATTTTTCATCATAGGTACACTTCAACTATGAGAGATGAAATGAGGAAAAAAAAAAATCCAGGAAGTCATATTGTAGGATTTTTAAAGAATGTATTTGTAATTTTTATTGAAGGTTGGATCATTAGCCAAATGAAAACCTTAATCTGAATAATGACTACAGACCTACAGGCTGCTTTTCCTGATTGACCAATTCTTTACATCTTTATCAAGCTGTTTGTTTCTGTTTTACTCACAAGCAAACCGGTTTTTGAAGTGCAGTTCATTACAGTAGAAACCAACTTATGATGGTGATTACACCATAATGTAAAGCAAACTTGGTATTCCTATTGGTACATGTTTAATATTAACTCATAATGCTACGTTCAGACCCCACGCTGCAGAAGCAGACTGTTTACGTGCATAGTCAATGGTTGACGTGCAGCAAAAGGTCATGCAGCGTTTGAGCATCTGAAACACTTGACGCAAATTACTCGCTGTGAAGCAACAGCTGCTGAAGATGGAAAAATTAAACTTTTGCTGCTCATTCACATCAACCAATCACAGAAGCTGATCTGGGAGCTGGCAGGGAGACAGGCACAGCACTGCTGATAATGGAGATCGCTATTATCACTCCTCTGAAACTGTTTATTAACGCCTAAATTAATGTAAAATGTCGAAAGTTGGCAGAATATGTTCGATTTTATTATTCTGGTGCCTGCAGTTTGGATTACATACTTGAAAAACTCCTTCCAGCCGCCACGAACAGTAGTGGAAAACCACAACCCGGCTAGAGGCTCCCATTAAACAGGATTTCCACTGACAGAGCACCGACGTATACAGTAACCGCTCAGACCCCCGGTACAGGGGGTCTGGCTGCAAAATGATATATGAAGGCAGGTTCGTAACCTTCATGAACTGACTGCACCAATATTGTTTTCAGGTGGACTTTCTCCCTTAAAAACATATTAAAACTACTTTTTACCCACTTATAACAGCAAATATAGCAAAGCCACTCTCTTCTATTGAACACGCATCTGGACACACTTTACTGGACGTCTGACCTTAATGTGGACAAGCATCAAAATTGTTTTTGCTGTTTCCAGTGCTTGCAGTCTGAATGTAGCTTTATTTATTAAAATAAGCCAAGCGACTCTCGATTTCAATCGCCATTCTTACAGGCAAAGAAAGGATAGGGTAGCTCCGCCAAAGGTTCATTAGACCCACTTTTTGACCACGGAGCCAGAGCAGCAAAGATGCTTCAGCCGCGAATCAGAACTAAAACTTGCTGCTTCTGCTGCATGCAGTCTGAACGTAGCATTAAGATCTAAGGATCTGGCAGGAATTTCTTAGAGATTATCTTATTTATTCCTTCCCACTAGATCAGGGTTTGACAGCCCCTAAAATGCAAATATCTATATCACCCAGCAAAACAGTTCATGATCTTTAAATAAAACAACTTATTTTTTTAAACATCTGCCATAAGAAATCTGTTGCAATTTTATCTGACAAAACATTATTTCATTTTTTTGTTTTTAACCCCTTTTTAACCAAACATATCATGTTTGAGCTTTTGATACATTTACATAAGTGTTATATTTGTTCTTTAAAAAAAACTCATTTATACAATCAGACATGTAGTGAACAGAAAATCCATTATCAATTGCAGCGAAATGCCTAATGTGTCACAAATGAGACAATTTATCCCATTGAAATGACTCAGATTTATTTTTTATTATTTGTCAGAACATTTAATGACATTAATATCAAAACCAAAGTTCATTCCATAGTTTAAAAATAAACTGTTTCCAAACTAATGATAAAACATATAGATCTGAAAACATATTTATGGAACTTTAAAGTCTTTCTTAGACCAATTTATTACTCCCACCAGGGGCAATTATGTTTAGCAGTACAGGAGACAAAAAAACAAACAATATAAACATGTAGAAACACAAAAAAATAAGATTATTAAAGAGAAAAATGTGATGGGGAGGTTGAGGATGAAAAGTAATAATAAAAACACAAAAATATAGAAGATAACACAGTTTTCTTCATCAGCCACCCTACATAGAATTTATTAGTCGAATGGCTGTTGGTATAAAAGAATTTGCATAGCGGCTTATTTTAAGTGAGGCATTACAAAACGTTGCCTGAAGCAACAAAGAGAATTCTTTTTTTGAGAACATCTTTAGCTTTTTTTTTTTATTTGTTCATTAAAACCTACCAATGATAACTGGACTGACTGAAAAAGACTTTAGTGTTCTCAAAAGGTTCATCCTTTTCTTGAGCTTTTTTCCGCAACAGCTGGTTGTTGAAAATTATTTCAAGATACTAATAAGAGGAGACCTACTTGATGGCTTCAGTATGCATAATGCTCTCTGTGACCAAATCGTTTTTTATGTCTCAAATCAAAAAGGAGTCCTTTGTTTTTTAACTTTTGACTTAAAGACATTTCTGTCACACTAAGAAATAAAATCAGAGTGCTGTCCTGTGTTCTGATTCTGAACTGCTAAGAAGAAATAACTATTCAGTGTCATCTTAAAGTTTAACAAGATACCTGTGTGCTTTTAGATTCATTTCTGTACAAAATATAAAGAAAAGGAGATCAACCACAACCCTAGGTGAACCTGTTGATACAGAGACACAATCTGACAACGCCTCTCTGCTCTCTTATAGACAAAAAAAAATCTAAAATCCTTAAGACAAGATGGTGAGAAATTAAATTAATTTAAAAACCTCTAACTCAAAAGATGTGGTTGCATCTCCTTTGTCTAAAGTGTCTAAGTATGGTATTTTTCAATATACTATAATCTAACGCATTGGCTTGTATAGCCACTGCTGAGAGCCGTTGTAGAGCTAAAGAGCCACTTGCAGCTCCAGAGCTACAGGTTGCAGAACCCTACCCTCGCTGGTCTGGGTACCACGATCGTACTGATGCTGACCAGCCCATTACCGGGTAAGCTGCATGGGTAAGCCGAAGAACATTCAGGCTCAGTTACACGTCTAAAACAAAAAGACCTCCCAGAAAGTTAGAAAACAAAAAAAACCCCGACAAGTTCTTTCTTGTAAAAAAATGACGGAATTTAGGTAACATAAGAAAAAAACAGCAAATCTTCAAACATTTACAATTCTTTTAAATAGTTAAAGTGTTTGTTTATTAAAAACTTCAAGTTTTGAAAACTTCAAACCACAGGTCATCCTCTTAGTTTTTTTTTAAAATTATTATTCAAGTACAATAATGTGAAAAAATAAAACAAAAAGCAAAATTCCAACAATCCTCAGGTCTAACTTAATTAGCAAGATCCTTCACAAAGATGGGAAAACCATTTTCCCGTTGCTCCTTGATGGAGTCAGACAGATTTTTGCACACATTTTTCCCTATTCCAGAGAGCAGGTTCTGACTGGGGATGAAGAAGTTGGCGAGTATACCTCCTCTCAGGTGGCCTTCAAAGTCCTGAAGGAGCTGGTCAAAGCAGCGGCTGAGATCTGATGCCCTCCATTCGCTGTCTTTAGCTCTGGAGCAGCAGGCATGTAGAAACACAGTCTTGGCATGGTAGGAGCAGAACTTCTCAAAAGAAGGGTTGCTTTCCTTCAGCAGATGTAGAAGATGCTTGAAGAGCTTCACACAGTCTTTCCTGAATGCAGAAACAAAAAAAAATTGTGATTTCCCTCAAAATTGGCACATTTATAAAACTAGTGTTAAATTCTGGGCTGAAACAACAGTTACCTATAGATTATTGAAATAATCAACCAATTTAGTAATTGATTATTCATTAAACGGAGTATAGAGACTCCTTCGGACTTTTTTTCACAGATTATCTGTCTTTATATTACTGTCAGGGCTAGGGCTGAAATAGTTAATCGGATTAATCGTGATTATTCTATTATTAAAATAATCGTCAATAACTTAGTAATCGATTAATCATTAATTGGAGTATAGAGACTCTAAAACATGCCTTTAGCTAACAGACCAACCAACTTAGAGCAGTAATTATGTCAAGATTGTAAAAATAATATATAAACATTTTGCATTTAAGTTAAAAAAAATAAAATAAAATGTTCTCCTGTCAATATGCTTTATCCAGAACTCCACAAGTGGAAAAGCTTAGTTTAATTGAGTTTCACCTGGTTTAATTTTTAAGAAATTCTTTAAAGGAATCTTTGGCTGTCTGATTATTAATCGATTAATCAAAAAAATACTTTGTTAAATGATGGTTAGTTGCAGCCCTAGTTAAATGATCAACCTGCAGCAGCTTTCTCCCTCTCTTTCACAGCACGTCTTCTCTGATCCATGTTTCCTCATAATATCCTTCTCGATGTGAGAGAACGACACTCGCCAAGCATCTGTGAGGAAAAAAACAAAGCAGTCTATAACGTGTGGTGTTCTTTGGGTCAACCTTTTTTTATTGTGTTTCACCTATTTTTAACTTGGGTTTCTTTTCATTCTGTGAATACACTTCAAAAACAATCTAGAAATAAGTAAAAATGTTTTAAATTATAGGTATTAACCCTCAATTTAAGTAGGTAAATAAGATGATCTACCAATGGAATAAGTATTTTTAATCCTAAAAATAGATAATTAGTTAACATTCACTTGAAATAAGACAATAACAACTTATTATTTTAAATGTAAATTTTCTTATTGTCTCACTTACCTACCCAGCTCAAGAAAAATTCACTTATTTTAAGAAAAAAAGGACTTACTTAGATCTTAATTTTTTTGCAGTGCAAAAAGAAAATTCTTGTTTGGTTCCGAAGATCGGCAAAGATCTACATACCTTTGGCTTGAACCCCATTGTTTTCCACATTTCCTCTGCCTTCGTACTTTGGTACCAGGTAGTAAGGCTCTCGTTTGTACTCCTGTTTCACTTTAGTTCCAAGCCACTGGTCAATTTTAAAACCGTCACGGGTAAAATCTGGCCAACTGGATTTCACTTTGAGACAGAGAACCACGTCGAGAGAGATGGTGACTGAGCCAGACTCTGCGGTCAGGGTCACCGCAGGGCAGCCTTGTTTCTTCGGCGTCATCGTCCATGCTAAAGCAAAAAGGAGAGGAGTTAGTGCAAAGCAAAGACTTGTTTGCAATTACCTACTCAAAAAAATAATTCATGAAATGCTATATATTTGACTATTTACATCATATCACACATTCCATCAAGTCTTTTGTACTATATTTGAAAATCAAATATATTTTTAAATGCCAAAGCCAAAAGATCAAACCAGAGACCAAAGTTTGCCACTAACCTGGAAATCCTTTTACAAATGTCTTTATTTCTTTTCTAAAGTCGTTTAACATTTCGCTTGCACTTAAAATATCATCCTGCTGAAATTGTTTTAAAGGATTATTTCCACGTTTTAATCCCACGCTGTAGAAGGCTCCATCTGGCCCAAAAGGCTCAATCTTTACTCTTTCAACTGGCATTGGAAGCATGACGTCAAACTCATCTGGATCTGAAATCTGTATAAACAGGACGCAGAGATTAACATATGTTCTCTGAATCTGTAAGATTTTTAACTAGTTACTTACCTTAAGGTTTTCATAATAACTCCCTGTGCGCAGTGACTCATCCACTTCTCTGAAATGTAGGGTATCCTTTTTTAAATACTTGATTAGATTTTCTATGAATTCATTTACAACTTTAGCAGCTTCTGCTTTGTTCTTTGTCTTAATCTTCAGGTTGCTAAGAATCGACCGTAGGAGAGCGTCTCCTGACAGATCTGCTTTTCCCTTCATCCTCTGCCCGGGTTTCACAGCACATGCCTTATTGTTTGACTCTTCAGCAGCCTTTTTGTTTTTCTTTTCCGGTTCTCTCTTAATCTTTGCCTTCTCCGGCTCTTCGCCCTCCTTCTTTGCTGAGATCTTTGAGCATGTCTGAAATTCTGCATTAGCGCGCGCTTTTGGTTTAGTGGCATCTATAGAAGGCGCTTTGAACTCCTTCGTCAGCTTTGTAGCAGCTTTGATCTCCAGCTGGGATTTCAGATGATCCTCTGGAGGTTTTTTCACCGACCCAGACCTGCTGGAACAGGTTTTGGTCTGACTGCTTTCTGGCGGGATCCGCTGTTCCTTAATACTCTCCCTTGTTGATTGTCTGGTTACCTTTTCTTTAGTAGCTTTCTCCACAGACGGCTTCTTCTCAGCATGGTTTGATTTCTGTTCATCCTGTGCCTTTACTGTTTTCTGCTTCTCTTCATTAAACCCTCTTCGTTGCACCGGAGGTGCACATTTCATTTCTTTAAGTCGCGATTCAGGACTCCTTGCCTTACGAGGTTTTTCTCTCACACTCATGATGAAGAAATGAGAGAAGTGAAACCATGTGGCTGAACATATATTCGAGCAACATTTCCTGTTACACGCCCTCACCATATTTGGCAGTCTGCCCTCCAGCTCATTCAGGTTAAATAGGAGTCCTTTATTTTCTCACAGATAAGATATCTGATGCCATCTATAAAGTAGAGGAATTACAATGTTACTATAAATAAACAGAAAAAAAGGTTGTCCTTATTCCACAACAACAGCAACACCTTGTGGAAACAAGCTTGAACTGTAGGACTATAAAGACTCAGATACTAATCAAACACACGGACATAGTATTGCCAGACAAATGCACACTTTGGTTGAAAGATGTTTAATGTTGCTAAGAGGCTGGTGCCATCTCACAATAAGGTGCAGTAGCTTATGCCAAATTCAGTATTCTTCAGTGAAAGTGCAAAATTATCAATCAAAGTGCTTCAGGAGACAAATGCTTTGAGTTCCTTCACAAGGAACTTTACAAAAATCAAACCTTTTATAAGTGGCGTTTAAAGCTTAAATACAACAGATGTTCCACTGATACACGACTGAGAAGAACAGTTCTAACTAACTTGTTTAAACTCTCACCACTGGTAGATATAGAGCAGCATGTAGGTGCCACCACTTGAAGCAGAAACACACATAGACTGAGGACCTACAGAGGTATCAATGGTAAGGAATGGTAAGATTTACAGTGGAAGTCTATATTGTTCAGTCACAGAAAGGTATTACCATGAACTCAAACGACAGCTCACAATGAATACCGTTTATGTTTTAACTTCTTGTTACCGCATGTGACGGGACGGTAGTCTGAGCACAGAGATGGATTGCGGCAATATGTTGATTCAAAGATCAAACTTTTTTTTTTTTTTCCTTCGAATGCTTTTGCGATGCATTGTGATGATCAACCAGTCTTTGATTATTAAGTTGAAGTGGCCAATCGTAAGATGGAGTTGGATGCGGGACGTCCTGCCTTGGGAGACCGTTTGGTCGGCAGAGCAGCACAACATTCATTTGTTCCTCTGGGCCTTCTGGGCAGACTTGGTGATTTTACCGGTGGTAGATAATTTCTTCTCCACGCCCTTTATCACTCCTACAGCCACGGTCTGACGCATATCACGCACCGCAAAACGGCCTGCCAAGGGAATTTAGGGCAAAAGTTGAACAGGAAAACTTAACCCCGGTGTACTTGTTAGTTCTGATGAGACATTGAAGTAGTCAAACAAACCCCTTACAGCTGAACTTACCCAATGGAGGATACTCAGAGAAGCTCTCAACACACATTGGTTTGCCAGGAATCATATCAACGATGGCAGCATCTCCAGATTTGAGAGATTTAGGGTTGTCCTCCAGCTTCTTGCCAGAGCGGCGGTCAATCTTTTCTTTAAGCTCTGCAAACTTGCAGGCAATATGGGCAGTGTGGCAGTCCAACACAGGAGCATAACCAGCACTGATCTGGCCAGGATGGTTGAGGATGATCACCTAGAAAAGCAAAGTGGATTTCCTGTAAATAATCCTGTGTGACTTTCTGTTTATATCAGAGAGGTTTTTTCCTTTGGGATTTATGGACAAAAAAAGAACAGCACAATGCTCATCATTGTGACTCATTGAGATACTTGTAGAAATATGCTCTTTGATTATACTTTGATGCTAGAAATACTTCTGGAAGGACAGTTTAGTATTCATTTCTATAAAAAGATTTTTGTAGCTTTTACCTGAGCTGTGAAGTTGGCAGCTTCCTGCGGAGGATCATTCTTGCTATCTCCAGCCACGTTGCCACGACGAATGTCCTTCACCGACACATTCTTCACATTGAAGCCCACGTTGTCGCCTGGTAGGGCCTCCGACAGTGCCTCATGGTGCATCTCCACGGATTTTACCTCAGTGGTCACGTTAACAGGCGCAAATGTCACCACCATGCCAGGCTTTAGTATTCCCGTTTCCACTCGACCTACAGGCACAGTTCCAATACCTGAGGAAAAGGGACAAGCATGGTAAAAACAATATAAATGATTCAGTCTAGGCCTTCAGAAAATATAAAGATGCCCTTCCTGCTCATGTTCTAACACCGTCTTGATCTGGAAATTTAGAAGTGTGATACATGCCTCCAATTTTGTAGACATCCTGCAGTGGAAGACGTAGAGGTTTGTCCGTCGGACGGGTTGGGGGCTGAATAGCATCCAGGGCCTCTAGTAGTGTGGTCCCTGATGCACTACCTTCCTTCCTATTAATCTTCCATCCCTTAAACCATGTCATCTACAAAGAAAAATAACAGAGCTTAAAGAAAATATTTTTTTGCAGATAATAAGCAACACTTTATAAAGTTTTAGCCACCAGGGGCACTAAACCTGTAATGTCTGGGTTTAGCACTCCTGACAGCAACTGACAATGCTGCACTGTAGCAAAATTAAACCATCTCCCTCTCCCTCTCCATTTTGGAATCTATTCTACTGCTGTGATGCTGCTAACTTTGTCAACGAGTAAATAACACACTTACGTTTGGGCTCGGCTCAAGCATATTGTCTCCATTCCAACCCGAGATGGGCACAAAGGCGACAGTGTCTGGGTTGTAGCCAATCTTCTTGATATAGGTGCTCACTTCCTTCACAATCTCCTCGTACCGCTTCTGGCTGTAGTTTGGCTCGGTTGAGTCCATCTTGTTGATCCCCACGATGAGCTGCTTCACTCCGAGCGTGTAAGCCAATAGAGCGTGCTCTCGAGTTTGACCATTCTTGGAAATGCCCGCTTCGAACTCTCCCACACCTGCTGCTACGATCAGCACTGCACAGTCGGCCTAAGGATGTTAAAAAAATAAAGAATATGGACTGTACCAATGAGTGAAATCTGCACTAAAAAGGTGGAGGTGGACAAACTAAAGGGATCATCCAGACCTGGGAAGTACCAGTGATCATGTTCTTGATGAAATCCCTGTGACCTGGAGCATCTATGATGGTAACATAGTACTTGCTGGTCTCAAACTTCCAAAGAGAGATGTCAATAGTAATGCCACGCTCCCTCTCTGCCTTCAGCTTGTCAAGCACCCAGGCGTACTTAAATGAACCTTTTCCCATCTGTAAAAAAAATAAAAACATCCTCTTTTAAACACGTGACTTAAGATTTAAAATAAGAATATTATTGAATTCTTTAGGGTGAGATCATAAAATCAAAGGCATTTGCAGATTATTCTCTTGCTGTCACCATCTGTTTTACCTCAGCGGCTTCCTTCTCAAACTTCTCAATAGTTCTCTTGTCAATGCCTCCGCACTTGTAGATGAGGTGTCCTGTAGTGGTGGACTTGCCAGAGTCCACATGGCCGATCACCACGATGTTGATATGAAGCTTCTCTTTTCCCATGATGACCACAGTTGGGTGAAGTCACCGGTCTGCTAAAGCTGCATTTAATTCAGAACAGAAAGAAATTTAATAAATTAAAACTTCTGTGTGAGACAGTTTATGTAAGACTTCAGCAAAACTGAATATGTTTCAGTAGTTCACTTCAAAAAGTAAACATATGTCAGATATGATACATTCATTAGACAGGAAAGTATGAGACTCCTCGATGACTTATGAGACTAGTTTTCGAAAAGTCTGCATTTGTCATCTTTAAAGTAGGTCTATTGATTAAAATACTCATAACAGTATTGTTTTTGTTAGTTTATTATTAATACTTAAACATTAAAATGTTAATTTAGTTAGGGTATTTTACATGAGGGCATCAGAGTCGCTTGTTCCAGAGATGGTAAATTACATCTGCATGGGAACGTCAAATCACCCTGTAGGGGTGTCCAATAAAGTGGCTATTGGTTGCCATGTCTCTCCCTAGCCCCTATTTAGCAAAGCCTCTGGTAGAAAGTAGTGTTGCAACGATACCAATGCCAGTATTGGGATGGGCCCCGATCCAGCACTAAAATGGTGGTATCGGTATCAGCAAGTGCCAACAAATAGGGCACCGATACCATTTTGAGAGCCAAAATGTATTCTTTTCTTTTTGTTATTCAACTATTGTCATCCATTCCAGGTAGGCAATGAAAAGTTCTACTGGATTCACTTTGAATTAGTCTTTTTCCTGCTTTACAAAGGTAGGCAGCAGCTTGACAAAGCCATGATGGCAATTATTTTACATCCAAGTAGTATGCAGTTCTTCATATATACACATACCACACAATTTCAAACAGATGGTATGGTATCGGCCAATACTGCACAGCCAGGTATCGGTATCAGTCATCCGCGCAACATTAGTAGAAAGTACAGGTATTTGTGCTAAAAAATTAAGTGATTACAAGTAAAAAGTCCAAGTAAAGTACAGATACTAAAATAGCTACTTAAATACAGTATTTGTATTTGTTATTTATTCTTAGTATTTGACCTCTATAGAGTGAATGTATATTACTGGAAAGCTTCCAAGTCCAGATATTATATAAAGAACTTTGCAATATGCTGGTGTCGGTCCGCTCTGTTGGATCAAGTATAACAAATTTACAGGTATTTCCGATTATTTCACACTACTAGTTTTAGGTTGCAGCAGAATGTGACACCAACCCATAGTTGCAATAGTACCAGTGCCTGCAATAATGACTTTGCTAACACTGTGCCTTACTGGAAAACAAACTATCCTGACCTAAAACCCCAAAGAGAATCAATGGAGGATTATTAAAAGGAAGATGTAACGAGAAGAGCTGAAGGTGGCTATTGAAGCAAGCTGGCCTTCCATAAAACGGCAGCAGGGCCTGAGTATGGTCATCTTACCACACAACTTTAAAGCAGTAATTTTAATAATGCAGAATAAAAAAAATTGTCTTGTAAAATATTTAAATTGACAAGGATTTTTTATTTTATTTCTTGTACACCATAGTTATTACAATTATAAATAAACCCTTGAAATTAACTCATATTTGTTGTCTTCCACTTTCAACTGAGTCATGGAGGCTCCCCAGACACATCCTCCAAATCCTCTAGGAAAAACCTGAGGCATTTCAAGGGCAGCCAAGAGACATAGGACTGACGTGCTCAGGGTCGTTCCCTGGGCCTCCCAACATCTCCCTTCTTAGGGAGGCATCCAGGGAGCATCTGTGACCGATGTCTCAGCTACCTTAGCTGACTCCTCTCAATCTGGAGGAGTGGCTCTAATCTGAGTCTGTCTCAGATTGCTGAGTTCCTCACCCTATGTCTAAGGGAGAGCCCAGCCATCATGCAGATGAAGCCGGCCGTTTTTAACCAGGATCTCATTCTTTTGGTCATGATCCAGATGTCACGGCCATAGGTGGGGGTAGGAATGTAGACTGATCGGTATAAATAAAGACCTTCACCTTTTAGGTCAGCTTTCCCTTTACAACAACAGATTATTGGTTCCTCTGTCAATTCTGCTCCATTCTCCCCTCAGTCAAGACCGGGACCCCAGATACTTCAACTCGTTTTTTTCTTATACCTCATCCAAAAATAGTTAGGTTATCCTGAGCTATTTTCTGTATTTCTGTTGCTGTGTTTGGGCTGCTGGATCACATAGGGACCGCTTTTCCTCATTCTGATTCATTTTATCTCTATTCTCTCAATCTGCAGTATTTTTCAAATTGCACTCATAACTTTATGTTCTCTCTGTTTTTTCTCATCATAGTAGCTTCGTCTGGTCTGTCCCTGTTCGGCTGTAACTTCATCCTGGATAGAAATATCAGCATTGCTGCTGCCATCAGTATCTTCCTTTATATATATTGGAGCTTGGTCTGTTTCCAGGGTAGTCCTGTTTATTTTATTGTGAATAGCAGAATTGGCTTGGAGCTCGTGTGCCTGGCTGTCTGTCTTTTGTGGAAGGGGCCACCTGTGGAGCTAGTTAACAGTTACCTTTCGCAACTCTGCTCCTTTTTTATGCCTGCTTCTGACTCCTTGAAGCCCAGTCGGCCTCAGCATATGGCTGCTCATACTGAGCCTGCTTGTGCTGGAGGTTTCTTACTGTTAAAAGGCAGTATTTTCCCTCCTCTTGCTGCATGCATACTTTGTGTCAGGGATTGCTGAAGAGTCAACAATAAAATGGAAGCAAAGTTTGTCGCTGCAGGCTTATCTAGCAGGAGCATGTCTTCCAACTCAGTGAGAGAGTGGATGCAATCAACTGGTTTTTCAAAACAATCTGACAGTATTGTCTCTGTAAGGTTCCTTAAGATTACACGTGTTGTTATTTGGTGCTATAGAAATAAACTGAACTGGATTGAGGCAGGAGCTCTCCTTAGACCTGAGAAGGACAAGCCACCTTTTCCATTCAAGAACAATGGCCTTGGAGTTGGATGACCTTAAACTTCATCACATACAGGTTTCAGTCAGCTGCAACCTCTCTGCATATCCTGAAATTATTTCCACTGACCAGACTCCCTCAGGCTCCTGGCTGAGCGGGAACAGAGAACAGCTCCTTCCAGAGTCCAACATGCACCTTGAAACTTCACTGAGGTATATGTAGAAGCTTCACTTCTTGGTTTGAAGTAGAAGATCCAGGGTAAATCCACTCGTGGCCCATAGCATGACTAATTGAGATGTAGCCTACTTGTAATTGATAGACAAACAATTAACTGTAGGTTTCTCAAGCAAACAAAAAAGCAGCTCAGTAGTCATCAGTTTTCTGTTTATTGTTTTAATCAGAGCTCTTAACACAAATAGTTTATCTCCCAACACAAAACGCCCCTCCCCTCCCTCTCTTTGACCTTACATCAATCCTCACCCCTACTCTCATCTTTTTATATACAGCTTGTTGTGAACCTATCAGAGTTTACCAGCTAATAGTGAACTGGCATGGTCCCGCTCCCTCCAAACCTGAATCCACCATTTTGTCCTATCCATCCTCTGACAGTGCATAGCAGCCATTTCTCTGAGTCTGCAGCTCTCTGCATAAACACTATTGCAGAATAGTCTTAAATAACTAGAGAGCTGTGCTGATTGTCACCTGATAGTATTTCCTTCACGCACTGCAAAGTTTGCCTTTAATTATTCATGCAGAGCGTCATGAAAGTCTGTGTAATTGAAATGCTCCCATAGCAGAGATGCATAGAGATATGATTCTATCCAGACAGGTTTCAGTGGGCTCAGTCCCAGGACAGCTGCCACTTCTGTGTTCAACTGATCCCTCAGAAATGACGTCACACCGCCTGCCGCAGTGCGCATCAGCTCATAAAAGCCGCTCAAACTGCGCAAAAAAGCCCCTCCACTGCGCTAAAACTAATGTGTGAGGGAATTAGTGGTAAAGTCGACCCTCCGCCATGTTCTGTCATCTGCCTGCTCACTGGGTGCGTTTTTAATACCAGCAACCTGCCTCCTGCACTGGATCGCTTCAGAAAACAAGCAAAACACACGACGCTGGTTAAAAATAAAAAAAAAAAGCCTCAAAGAGATCCTCATCCAGAACTAAAACCAGACTCTCCTCCTTTTAGTTCTGGATGTGGTGCGTCGTACCTGAGAGCTGGTCGGTGTCAGGTTGGGCTGCAGGAGCTGAGAGGCTGCAGAGAGACGCTGATCCGTTTATAGCTGTCAGGACAGGCGGGGGGAGGATTGCGTAACTGCGCACAACAGCAGCCCAGCATCCCAGAGAGGAAAACTGCTCCTTAACCACTTAATAATAGAATTATTGACTTCCATTTATAACTTTAAACAATGAAATGTAGAAAATGTGATTTACACAGCAATCTGACTGATAACTGAATGCTGCAGGTGGTGTTCCTCTCTCCAGACGCTTTGTTGGATTACCATTAACCCAGACGTCCTTTAGGCTTATCTACTGCGCCTGCCTGCTAATTAAAAATACATAAAACAAAAAAGAAACTAAAAGAAGCTAAAAGCTATAAATCTAACTGTTTGACTTTCAAAAAGACACATATTCCATTTTATATAATTAAATGGTCATGGGAGGTTCTAGAAAGGGGCTAATTGGGGCCAGTGCCCCTGCAGACAGGGCCCTTCTCAGGTTAGTTTGCTTGATTTCAGTGCCTAGGGGGCGCTGTTTATTTGCCTATATCCCCTAAGGTAGCAGTAGATTCTACTCTAGTATTCCAAAAAAGTTAAAGAAAAACATTCCACTGGACTTTGTTTCCAAGTTTGAAGACGTTTCGTTTCCCATCAAGGAAACTTTTTCTATTCAAAATGTCAGAAATAGCGTTGAGTTCGAGGCTTTATGGAGTGAACCAAAAACAACACCTTGTTTTGGCTCAGAAAACATGTTAATTGAACCGAAAGGACGGGTCTGCCCCTAAGGAATGGGCAGTCAATTGGGTTCTTTGTTAGCCTGCAGTACCCATTGCCTGTCTATGTCTCTGAAAGGGGGGTCATTAGGGGGAATTGTTGGCCTGGTTTAAACAGGCCAGATGTTCTGCTCCCCTGTATAGGGGTGGGGGTTGGGATGATACCAGGAAGGAACTATTTAAGACATTGAAGTATCTTTGTGCTCATTGTTCTCTGAACATTTCACAGTACTTTTTTTTTTATTTTGCCACAAACTCTATAAGATTTAAAACAGGAATTTAACAGGACCATTCTAGAATAAATGATCTATGCCTTGAATTCAACTGTTTAAATTATAAACAACAATGTGTCCACCTGTCGACTCTGACCAGCCTCCCTATCCGAGGTGATGCATTCCCACAGCATGACAGTGCCAGATGTGTTGTCATCAGGGCTAGTGATATCATCTTTTTCTATTTTTGCATGTTTCCTTTTTTGATGAAGGATCAAACAATGCGATGAGATATGGTTTTACAACCTGAACCTAATTTAAACGTCTCTGTTTGTACCTTGATGTCCTTTTATTAAACTTTACTATTAGAAGACCTGACATTAGAGCGGGTAAAATAAGGTTTGAAATTTTAACATCTTCTTTTTACCAGTAATCGACGAAAATAAATTAGAGAAAATGAAACATCACATAAAGTTATGGGATAAAATTGGAGTAATGCATGGAGTGAGTGACTAAGCGCATCAAATGCTAAGGAGGTCTCCTGTTTGTAGAAACTAGTCTCATGCTTTACTCAGGTATTATTTTAACCCCATTCTTGGGATTTTTTCATGCTTTAAACACATTTTATTTAAGAATTTCCTAGCAGTGAGACACCATGATGTTTCACCAGTAAGGTTCCCTTTTCATTTTGAGGAGAATGATTCCTCCTCCAAACATGAGTTCAGGGACATCTTAAAGGGTTCAACTCTGGCCTTATAGGCCAGATTAAATTCGCCAAGTGTTTCTCTAACTAGTCCAAACCTGCTGGAAACGTTATAAACTTCCACATGATCTTTCTGCAGCAGTGAAGACTTGCAGAGTATTGGTAAGTGTGAGTAGATGACATTGCAGGTAAATGTGTTACTTCTTGTCCTCATAGAAAAAAAAGAACCTTAGCTTGCTGGATGATTGATTCATTTTATGCATCTGTCAGAAATATTGTGAGAGTTTATAATGACATACTGGTAATGATTTAACCTTCCATATTATGGCTATGGCCTAAAAGCCGTTTAAAATGGCTTTAATTAAGTTCAGAAAATTGTCATTTTTATTAGTAAAGATATTTGTTGTTGCTCTTAGTTTTACAGGCCATACATTATTAATCAAGCTGCTTTTGATTTGCAAATAGCATTAGGAATGCTTTATAAATCCTGAATATTTCAGTTTGTTAGTAACAAGTCAATCATTTTTTTTTACTCTAAACTTAGTTTATGGATATCTGACCAGGATTTCTTTGTCTGTTGACCTCTTTCATCTTATTCTAATGGTTCCTTAGAAGTATTTAAAATGAAAAAAACATTGTAATCAGTAATATTTCTAACCCAAGTGTATAGACATAAAAAACAAGCAGAGTGTATTTGTAGTGCCAGGTTGGAATGTCCCTATTTTATGGTTTTGTTATTGTAAAATAATAAAAACTTAAATCCATTGTATGATGCTCTGTTCACTAATTTATTTGTGGTGGTCTTCGACAGTGGTTCCCAAACCTTTCTTGCTGGTTGTAGATATTACAATGAAATAAACCGGGCAGTGTAGAAGCTCTGTTGCCCTGCAGCAAGAAAGTTCTGGGTTCGAATTCTGGCCCGGGGTCTTTCTGGATGGAGTCTGCATGCGTGGGGTCTCTCCTGGTACTCCGGCTTCCTCCCACAGTGCAAAAACCTGTCTGTTCGGTTGACTGGCTTCTCTATATTGTCCTTAGGTGGCACCGGCCCCACAACCACCCTAACAAGAACTAAAGGCCGGAACAAAACAAATCTGATTTTGCATCCGATCCAACAGAAAATCATGTCGGACGGGGTTGTCGCGTTAAGAGCTCATTCAATGTCATTCGGGATGATCGCACCCGACACGCTTTTACACAAGGGGACTTGCGTAGGTCCGACTGAGATAGACCACAGGTCTATTTTAGTTGGACTACGCAGCAATTCATCTGCAGTTTCATTGGTCTTACAGGAACAGAGATGCGGTTACAAAGTAAAACACATTTTCTTTGGGGGAAAATACAAAATAATATGTTAATCGCATTGGAAAAGAGTCAGATTTGGAGTCACGTATATAGTAAGCAGGACAGACTCCTGCAAAATCAGTGAATGAAACATTAAATACTTCGCCCATCAGCAGGGCAGGAAAGTGATAAAGTAGTGACCCACTGCTTAGACCTCATTGTCTTTTTAATATATGAAAATTCTCTGTTGGTGTTTTAGATGCTGCATGCCTGTAAGTGGGGTTTTGCTATATGCAATGTTCTGTTGTTGTTTTTTTTTTTATCTAACTTTCATGTGTCAAAGGTAAATATGGGAAACTGTTATAATTTGTGTGGCATAGACTGAAATAAATAAAAATAATCTGTTCTCTTTCGAAGTCAGTGTGACATGGAAAAAAATCGGATCAGAGATTAAAAGTTGTACACAACCGGTGTGTTCAGGCCTGAAGCGAGAGAAAATGGACGGATGGAATAAAAATAAACCACGACCTCCTTCAATTTACAAATCTGACACCTTTAAAGAATAACTTTTTTAAGTTGAACTATTTGTTTGACTGTGTAACAAAAATAAAAGGCCAATATAATAAAAGTATGTTAAGAAACTGTTGGCAAAGTAAAAAAGCTGTGATGGTATTAATCATTGGAAAATATGTTTTTTTTTATTATTATTATTATTAAAAAGTCGATGTACGTAATCAAAGCCTTCCTGTAGCAGAAATAGGGTGTGATAATTTTCTTTTCTAGTCGAGGATCAACATAAGTTCGGTGAGTTACATATCAAGGTTTTTTTCATGTAACCACTTTGGTCCAAACTTAATATCCTTTAGGTTTTTTAAAATCCATTAATAGAATAATAAATAAAAACTCAAAACAAGTCAGGTTTGCCAATGGCTGTATTGGATTCATTTTTATAAGATGACAATGAATAACCTTTTCCTTGAACATTTTCATTATAATTATTTCCCATCATATGTTTTACATTACACTGAATTAACAGAAAATCCCTTTGATTCCTTGGATATCAACATAGAAACAAGATTAAGAAACATAAAAACATAGAATGCGTCATCTATGCTGGATCAAAAATCTTTTTAAATTAAGGCACAAGTGCATTACCTTAGTTTCCATAATGTTGCTACTTTTTTAAAGCAACGTGGATATAACACATTGTTTTGAGTAATTTAAACATTGATTTGAAAAAATAAAAAACATTTAATTCAGTTGAGAAACAACCTTCTCATTTCATATATGGCATAAAACTCCTGAGAAAAGGGCGTCCATCCTTTGGATGAGTCTTTTTAAGCTTAGTCCACCATTAACCCTACAATAATCTATTCCCTCATTAAGAAAACAAAAGCTTATTGACAACAAATAATGTTTCTTTAAGTAAATGAGCCTTACTTGTAAGAAGGTTTGTGGTGAACAATCAATTAAAAAAAGTAAACTTAAAGACTGATATGATTCCCTAAACAAAATTACATTACAATAAATGTTGCAGGTAACCACAAAAAAACAGCTATAAAGTCATGTTAACATAAACATAGTTTCTTTCCCTTTCTTTAGATAAACGATGTGCTCTCGATTTTAAAATCAGAACTATATCATTCATTTTTGTCCTGACACTTCAGCCCAATTCCTAAAACAAAACAAAGTTAAAATATAGATAAAAATGAGACAAATTCCTGGTTTGTTTGTTTGTTTTCATTTGAAAGGACTTTGCATTTTCTAAGCCTTACAGACAAATTTAAAATGTCCTTCCTGATCGTCTCTGTGATCTAGTTTAGGGTTTTTGTATAATGACACATTTAAAGCAACAGTAACGTTGTTTCTGTAGATTCATCAGCACCTAAGAAAGCTTAGATAACTAGTTAGGATCCAGACTAACTAACTAACTGGCCCTTTACACCGAAACATTTAGTCTCTGGCTTTGTAATTTAGCAGCTTAACTTTAAAATTAAGTATGCACTCAGGCTTTCCATGGGCTGCAGGAATACCCTTTTAATACTTAATCATTTTCTTTAAAGGAACATGTGGTCAAACTTCAAATGAAGTTTTACCTTCATCCTAATCTGGGTCTT